CTTAATTTTTACAATTGCGGTAAACAAGCCTTGGGGAGGGGTTTTGCAACTCAGTGAATATTCACTATCTCAGTGAATATCTCTCTTATCTCAGTTTATTTTATCAGGGCAGCCATGGAGTAATCATGTGCCCTGGGGGGTCTCGTGACTGAGGAGTGGAAAAGTAACGAAGTATCCTCTGCAGGGAAAATGGAGTCAGTTTGGTTCACAGGCCTAGCCCTGTTCTGTCTCAATACGTCTCCCAATTTATGAAGCTGATAGCATGAAGTTTGGATAGGTTGTCTTTTTTGCAACTGTGATCAACATTCCTCGGGGAGGCTGAGCAAGCAAGCAGTGAGACACACGCCGGCACTCCTCCCTGGAGACTCTTGGCCTAGGTCACAGCCAAGGAACTGAGACAGGACGGCTGCTGTGGTTCTCGCTCTTGGGACGGGAGGTGGAGAGCCACAGAAGCAAGGCAGGAACCCAGTCCCTTGGGGAAGAGTATATGCTACCCATGGGATGGGACTCTCAACTTCACCTTTAATTCACTAACAGAGTGGGAAGGTGGGCCAGATGCCTTCACAGTCCAGTGACTGTCCCAAGGGAGATTCTCAGCAATTCTCAGGCTTCATTTCCCATGCTTATGTTGCTGCAGATATCCACTAGATGGCAGTGTAGGCTTTTCTGAGCACCCCGTGTCTTTCCTGAGAGGGATTTGAAGCCAGGTCGGAAAGTCTTCAGTTTGACTCCAGTTTAGTTAATACTGATTGTCCTGGGATATGGACACATAACACAAAGGAAGATAACACCTCCTCCATGTCCTGAAATTTCCCGCTGTTAACCAACTCATCCTGTCGCAGACCAGGGGTGGGGTGGGGGAGAAAACTGGTCTGGAACATAGAGATTATGAAAGACACAAGAGTATGGTCGAGAAAGCCAAAGAAGGTAAAGATTCCATAAGGGAAGATTTGGTTCGAGCAGTAGGAAGAAAGAAAAAGTAGTATTCTACTACCACAGAACTATAGTTTATGGAAATTTAGCAGACCTATGAGAAGGCAAACTCAGTGGAATTGTCACTTTATGTTGGGCACTATTCATGTGTCATTTCACTTAATTCTCCCATCAAGTCTGCAAGTTGAGTATTTCCTTAGTCAAGACTGTTAGTGGCAAGTGACAGGAAGCCAACTCAAATTGGCTTAAGCCAAAAAAGAGGGGAGAATTTATTGGTTCCCCAAAATGAAAACTCCAGGGATAAATTCAGGCGTGGTTGGATCCAGGTGTTCAGTGTTGCCAAGAAATCTGTCTCTTGACTCTATGTTTTTATATGTGGTTTTGTTTATAAACAAACTCTTTCCTTGTGGTGGCAAAGACAGCCATAACCACCTCAGGTTTGTTTGACCCGTTTATCAACCCCAGTAGAAATAGATTGACCCTTTCCAACCATTAAAAGTGGCAGAATTTGTTCTGCTTGGATCACATGCCCCTCTCTAAATCAGACAGTGACCCTGGGCAGCCCCATTTAATCTACAAGGACTGAGAGCAGAAGAGGATGGTTCCCCCAAAGGAGAATCAAGATGCTGTTTATCAGAAGAAGGGGGAAGGATGCTGGGTGGGAAACACAAGAGCAGTTCCCATGGAAATAAGTAATCTGGCTAAGTGTGCAGCTGGGAAGTGGCAGAGCCGGAGTTCAAACCCAGGTCTCCCCAACTCCAGAGCCCATGGGACCACTGGTAAGGGCCCTAAGGGAGCCATCAGGGGGTGCTGGCACAGTTGGGGGTAGGGTCTTGTTGAAGGGTAGCTTTCCCTAGTTAGAATGGAAAGGGGAGGACAGTCATTCCTAAGGAAGGTTGTGGTAGGAGTTTCCCTTAAGGGGTTGAGGGAACAAGCACCTGTAGAGAGAGAGTGACAAGTAAAGTTGGAGAAGAAGCAGGTGCCATCTGGGAGCAGGGTCCCTCCAGAATGGGGTGGGAGGAACCTGAGTACTTAACTGCAGAGAAGAGGATGGAGACCTTTCCTCTGGGCCTGGAGCCTGATGAAGAAAGGCAAGAGGTGGTGACAGGCTATGTGGGACAGTGCCTGGCTTCCAAGGTGATGAAAAACAATGCCACCAAAGCAGCAGTGGATACACACAGGGCCCCCAAGCAAGCCCAAAGGCACGAAGTAGGGGAGGGGGTTGAGCAGACATGGGACAGTGAGTGCCCTGTGCCTTCCACAGACGCCTTCCCACCTCCACAGTTTTGCTCAGGCCACTTCCCCATCTTTGGACCCTGGCTCCATCAAAATGCTTCCTCCTCTAGGAAGCTTTCCCTGACTGCCTCTCTCTGGCCTCCACCCACATCTCCAGCTGATCTCTTCTTTCTTGGAGCTTTTTAAATGTTGCTTATCTTCCATACTCGGTGCTTGCTTCCTTCTGTCTTGTACTGTGGTTTCTCGTTAATATCTCATAGCTTCCACCACTTTATAAGCAAGGAAAGCAAGACTATGTATTGTATTTCCTTGAATCACCCACAGCCCTTACCAGCATTGCAGATCCCATATTGGCTGACTGGGTGACCAATTGAGTGAGTGAGTAAGTGAATGAATGAAAATGAATGGCAGGTGGAAGGACACCTTCTAGAGTGTGAGCTATGAGCTGTGTGAGGCCAACAGTTGGCCCTTTAAGCTGCCAGGTGTCCTGGGGCATTTGAAGAAAAGCTGCTGAGCCTAGTGGACCCCGGGGCAGCAGTGCTCTCTCCTCCGTGCTGCTGCGCAGGGCAGGTGTGAGCTGGGGGCAGGAAGGGAGCAGGGAGGGAAGGAGAGGAAGGTGGGTTCACAGGAAGGCAAAGTAGTGCAGGAAAACCTGGATGGCTCCTGTGCCAGTGATGGCTGAGCGCTGAGAGAGTGCTGAAGAGGGAGGAAGCGTTCCTCCCCTGGCTCTCTGACAAGCATACAGAGGCAAACATTTTTA